GACCATTTCTGTCCTTGCATTGTACTGGCCCGCTGATGAATTGCCGAAAACAGATGTTTACCAATATGACTTTTCAATCGTAAAAAGGGAATTTTCGCAAAATGCCCTTTGGTTAAAAGAGCAGAGATTCGTTTTGCCCGCATTCAGGTCAACTTTCAGAAGTCCATGGGTGTCGAATTCACTGAATATGTAGTCAGGATGAAAATATAGAGAGAGAATAGGGAGAATGGAATGGCCATGCTTGGCTTATCACCCGTCAGTAGCCATTCATACCCAACCCCAAATGGTGCACCACTCGAAGCTCGAACCTGCGATCTGCAAATTAAAAGTCCAATACCTTTACCATTCAAACACAAGCGGGAATACTGGCCCTCATTGGTGAGCGCGCATTGACCGCTATGGGAACTCACTCGTCCCGTGGGCCCCTAGGGCTCACTATAAGGCCCTGTTCGTAGCGGACTTAGACTGACACGACTTGCCTGAAAAACGCCTACCAGCTAAAGCTTGGCAGGGCCCTTCCTCAGGATCCTTTCTCGCAGCGAAAAGTGTTTCCACTCTTATCTGTCTTCCCTAACTTCTGATTTGGGCATACTTTATTTTTTATCGACACAACAGCAGTGGACGTTTGCTTTTCTGCTAAAACAGGCGAACATGCGAGTCCCAGGAAGTAATTGAGAAGTAGAAGACGACTCGATCGCTGGAAAAATATGTTTATTCGCCTGAAATTTCAAAATCCCTCGCGGATTCAGCATCATCCGACATAGTTGCTTTGCCCGCAACTGCACCAGATCCTGTAGGCGACTTCAGATGTTTCTTGCCGTGGCAGTGGGTCTTGCGGTTTCATGACGCCTTATGGTTGCTTCCGGCCTGTGTGCGAATCCAACTTAAAGTGGTTAGAGAAGGCGGCACGTCCAACGCGATTCTCCGTCTCATCGTACATGCCCAAATCCTACAGCTCCTAAAATTTTGTCTAAGAGCGTACTTCACATTTGACGAAAAAATCTACGAGCAGGTGAAGGGGAAACCAGTGGTTTCACCAATTTCGGAACTCATAGCCGAAGTGGCCGTACAGCGGCTAGAGTCGGTGGTCTTCCAACATCATAGACCGAAATTCTGGGCACGGTATGTAGATGACACCTTTGCCATCATCGAACGGGATGAGATGCTCACGTTTAAGGAACGTTTAAACAGCCCCTTCCCGGAAATCCAATTAACTATGGAGGAGGAAGAGAACAATCAGCTGGCCTTCCTCGATGTCCTCGTCTGTCGCAAAGATTGTTGTTGCCTAAAGAATGAAGTATTCAGGAAAGCGATAAACACGATACCTCTACTGAATTACAACAGCAACGACCCAATCAGCCACAAACGCAGTTCCGTTAGGACGCTCTATCGGCGTGTTAATATGCACTGCAGCAAACCAGAAGATAAAATTGTCGAGGTACGATACCTTCGACGGAGGTTCAGAGAAAATGGCTACCCGCACAACCTCGTCAACCGGTGCTTGCGCGAAAGAGATGGCCAAGAAAGTCGCCCAATCCATATTCGGTGCTGAGACTAAATTTGGCAAAAACAAGTCGCCGCTCGAGAAACAGACAGGCCACCACATCATTCTATGCCAACACCACAGGGCCAGATGGTCATTGCTGACGCAGCGTATCAGCGCATACTCAAGGCATTTATCGATTTCTTCTGTACGTTTAAATTTTACGGCAAAACCTTGTGCACACACAAATTGTTTCTGCTGCTGTTCTGTGTGTATGTCTCTGATGAT